TCACAACAACCCCATGCAGCGCTACAGGCTTGGGGAAAAGTGGCTGGAAAGCTGCCCGGCAGAAAAGGACTTGGAGTGTTGGTCAGAAGGCAGGTGAATATGAGCCAGCAGTGTGCCCAGGTGGCCAAGAAGACCCACGGTGACGTCATGACCTCGGGAGGATGGTGGTGTTATCATGCCCTCCTCCCCAGCACAGGAGCCTGGGTGGCCGCTTTCCTCACCCAGCAGCTCAGGTGGCCGGCGGTGAGAGTTGGTCTCACACAAACACCGGTCCCCTCACTTGGGTCTTCCTGAGGAAGGCTGGATGCACACGGTCCTTCGGTATGCTTCCAGAGGGAGGCACAAGGCTGGATTTGGGAACAGTTAACTGAATTCATGCAGTTACGGTGCTAACAGTAGAGAAAGGTGGCTGAATACACTCAAAAAACTGCTGTTGAAAGACGGCTGTTTGGTATAATACAGTTCCCTAATTTTTAAAATAGCCTGTGCTGTAACCTGCGTTTGTCCTCATATTTCTAATAAAAAAGAAAATATTCCATTCAAACCTTGGTATGTTTCACATGTATGGTAAATAACAATCATGCATTACAACTATTCAATAGTATAGAATTAGATTTTAGTCTTAAAAGGGAACTATATTTTCTCATTGAAACAAAAAACTGCATTCGTTTGTATGAAAAAGCTTTCAGAAGGAACATATGTACCATCTACTCGGGGAAGAAGTTGAGTTGTATGTATATCATCGATGCAGCTAATTAGTTAAGATAAAATTAACTAAAAATAGAGTATTCAAAAATTTCCCATCAATTCCCCAAAATAATGTTCTTTGATTGAGTTACAGCTGTTAAGCTTTCTATGTGGATTGTGGTCCAGTATGACCATACCTGAAATGCAGAGGAGATAAACTTGAGATGCTTCATCTGGCTGTACTGAACTAGGAGACACCTGTCTGTTTCAGTGGTTTGCCTTTTAACTTCACTCTGTCTCCTTTTGCTTTGATTTTATGGGAAAAGCAAAATACGAACATTTAGTGGAGCTTCACTATACTGTTAAATTAATGTAGTATTCTTCTATATAGCCTTCTCTATTATACACCATGCAGCAATGCTAAATTATCATGTTACTGTTCTTTCATCAAGAAAAACAAACCAAACTAAATGAGAAAATGCACACACAAACAGGCAAATAGGGAAAAACTGAGTAAAATTCAAGCCGCCATCCACATTTCCCAACATCCATGAATGGTGATGTTCAGATTATTTTAAAACCTGAAAGCTCCTTTTCACATCTCGTTTCTAAAATACACAAGATTATGCAGTGTGAGCAGTTGATTTTTGCTGATTGAATCCTGCATACACTTTGCTACACCTCCTTGGGGAATTACTCTGCTTCTTTTTGCTGTCTCAGCCCTCTGTTAAGAGCTCCATCTTCAGGAGAGAGGATACAACGCAACCTTTAAATCTCATTTTCAACCCAGAAATAGTTCATACTGATACCGGTTAGAGACTTCACCAGTTCTTGAACAGGGACTCGTGGTATTGTTTTTCACATGAAAAGGTGAATGTCCAGCAGGCAATTTTGACAGTACTGACCTAGTGGGGACCTGAACTAAGAGAATGGAAATAGTGGACTTATATTAGAGCCACAACTTCAAAATATATGGGATTGATAATCTTTTTACTTCTGGGTTTTTTTTATTTATTTATTGATGGATGGATTGAAAAGCAGTGTACAAAATACTGCTTGGGTAGAGTAACCACAAATAGCTGCCTACCTATTTAGAAACATTTAGTTTGAAAGGACAGCAGCAAACTCCATCATCTGCAGAGGAAACAAAATTCTCGTGAATTCATTAACTGAATATGCCTTAGGGAACTATGCAGATGTTTAAACAAAGATGTGCATAAAAGATCAGTACCATTTTCTTCTGATAAGAAGAAATAACGTAATGTCTTACTCATCAGAATACAGAGTTCCCTAACAGGTCAGAGATCTATTGGATCATTGCATCATGAGCGTAAGACCCCTTAAGCAACTGGAAACAATTCTCCCCATTCAAGTCTGCTGAAAGTGCTGAGCAGTGGAAATGCGAAGACAGCACTGGCAGAGATCACAGAGGCAGGATATTTTCTTCTGTTGCTCCCCTAACTGGAATCCACTCCCTTTTCAAGGATGAAAGTATTGACAGAAAAGAGGCTCTCTGTATCAGAAGATTAAAGCAAAAAGTTGCATTAACTACTTGAAACCCGAGTTAAAAGAATTCTAGCTCTTTCAGTGATGCCAATCATTCACTGCAGTGATGACGTTGTGATCAGTACTCTATTTAAGCATTAAAATGAATAGTTTAGTAAGTACTTTAAGTAATAAAGTTACTCAAGACACTTTATTTTCAGTGTCTTATTTCTCTTAGGAAAATGTTCATGCTATCAAGAATCAGAAAACTAATTGGGAACACAGTAAAGGGATTAAGTGTACATTGAGAGCTGACCTTAATCATCGAGTGAGTCTCCAAATACTCAACCCTAACAAATACATTTAATTTAGCAAGGTAGTTTTGAAACCAATCAGATACAGTATTTAAGCCTCAAAAGTCATGACTGGGTAGCAAAAGTTAAGGAAGGAAATAGCTCTGGCCTCTGAGGCAAGAGTGAAAAAGGCAGTATTAATAAAATACTTCAAAATGATGCCCATAGGTACCAACTAAAATACAGCAACTGGTGAAAGAAACTGAAAAATGTTTATATTACATATTTGAGATACATGTGTGCATGTAAAATTAATTACATTTATTTTTGCACGTCTGGGAAATAATCTTTACTACTTGTATACACAGAGAAGGTATGTTTAGGCCAGAGTTGACCACTAGTGTGTGCGGCGTAAAAGAGACATGGTCTTGTACAGCGTGCTGCACCAGGGCTACAAGGACACTTGGAAACCTCTACCAATTCTGAATAAGATCTGGCCTTTCCTTCAGGAAATGTTGGATAAGTTTAATTTGACTTAAGTTGTATTTACCAGCGATCAAAAGCATTTCTGAGTACCTTTTGGCCTTTGGAATACACCAGGAGTAGCACAGCTGTGTTTTGAGCTGTTAATACCATCCCTCATGGAACCGAACCTCTTCCTATGAACAGTAGCTTCAACAAAACAAAGAGCAGATATACAATATTAATAAAAAACAAAGGGGGCAATGATGGAAAGTACAGTCAGTGAGCGTGAGAAAGCTCGATTTCTTGGTTTTCTTTCTGATGCATAGTCAGACACTCTCACATTAAGTCTTTTCTAGATCGCACAGCCCCTTTTAGCCCTACAGACCATGCTGCACAAGGCAGCAGCATGAAATAGTGGTCCTTTGCAAAAGATGCCTATCAGGATTGTTAGAGATACACCAAGAGTTTCCACCTTCGACAGGAAGGTCTTCAACTCTTGTAACGAAAAGAATGCAATACTTTAATTTTTCTTTTCTAATTTTTAATGTGCTACTAGTGGCACATTAGATACCTAGTGCTGGGCAAGCTTAAAATGTCTGTCTCGCCTATTGCCAATAAAGTTTTCCAGCAACAAGTTTTCCTAGCATAAATGAGTTTTAATGTGATCTGGAAAGTTTCTAGCTTTTTAAAATTATCTTGTGGGGTTCTGCATCTTCAGATAGCCTAGAGAGATTCTTAAATTAGAAACACGAAGCCTACTCTTTACTGCTATGTGTACCCTGCTGCAGTTATTCAAATTAATGTAATGCTATTCTTTAATACCTGTCCTTGAGAAGGTAGTTTACTAGTTGTCCCTAATAAGGTAGTTAGGCAAAACCTGGGATTTCTATGAATGAAATTTCAAGTAACAATAAAAAAAAACCAAACCAAACCAAAAAAAACATACATATGCCTTAAAAAAAGGACAAAAACTTACACACATAAGAGCGTGTTCTTTTGTACATCATCTTAGAAGGGAAGTGAAACTAAAGAACTGGGAAAATAGAGAAGGGAAGAAAATGCATGCAAATTTTAGATTTTCCTATGCTGACTTTATACCAATACACTTCCTTTGTCTCTATGTAAAGTCAGTTCGGTTTTTTTGTTTGGTTGCTTTTTTGTTGGGTGCTTTGTCATTTGTTTTTAAAAGAACTTGCCTCCAACTCATGCTTCCATACTCTCCAAAATGTGTTCTCATATGCAATTCTCTACAGTAACTGTAGATGGTGTTCATAATCAACTTTCCCATTTCAGAACAAATGGTAACTGAAAGGACAGTGCAGCGGAAGTCAGACAGAACTTTCAGAGTAAGTTAGTGTCATGCATTTTTGAATTCCAGCATTTTAAGACTACTGACAATACAGAAAGCAAAAGTTCCTTGAAAAGGGAAGAGACAATGATATGAAAATGATCAGATTGTCATTTAATTACCCTTAGAATACCGAACTTACTTCAGAATGCAGCACATCATCATACAGTGCATTACAGCACACAAGATTCTAAATGGTCTCAACATAACACAAAGCAGGAAAATCTATACACTGAAATTATCTCAATGTGATAGACATTTTAAAAAGTTGCAATAATTATTAAAAAGCTTTCGATAAAAAGTTTAAACACATTTAGGTTTTCAAAGAATATTTTGTACATTTTGGAAAAATATAACATTTACTTTACATAACTGAAACATAAATTATATTCTTTGTAGTTTGTAAGCTTCCATTATTCATACATTCTCTCATACATTTTCTTTTAATGCATCCTTCTCTCTGGATTGTAAACCTAATGCAAAAGTATCATTATTCTGAAGAAAAGCTTGTTTCTGCATTAGTTTCCTGAAAAGTCCATTTGGATTTGCAAGCAGTTCCTCATGTTTTCCACATTCAAGAATTTTACCCTGGCCAAGGACTGCAACAAAATCAGCATTCTGAATAGTAGACAGACGATGAGCAATAATTAGGACCGTCCTCCCTTCCATCAGCCGGTCCAGAGCTTCTTGCACTAGATACTCGTTTTCAGCATCCAAAGCACTAGTAAGAAATAGGAAGCAGGGAGGGGAGAGAGGAGGATATTTGGTATTTTAAGACAGGTTAGTTTTGTTTAGGCTTATTTTGCTAAAACTGCAGACCCTTGCTATCGTTGGTGAAGATGAACCGATGGAACCGCAGGAAAGTTTCGTGAATATGCTTAGTGCACACATCCAAGCTATAGGCATTACATATTCTCATATGCAAAAATATGCATGGAGAAATAACACTAAATTAATTCAGTGAAAAAAAAATAGTGCAGTATAATCATCTCTCTTTAACACTAAGATCTTCATTTAAACTAAAGGTAAAAAAAGCTTTAAGCAGATATTTCAAAACCGTTACATATTACAAATTTAATTCCATGAAAAATTACACCATAGTGTACCAGCTATCCTTTCCACTTTGCATAAACAGTTTTTATCACAGGTTTCCTAACCAATTCACACAGTCTAAAAAGCGTTCTGTTCACGACTAGAGAAAAATAAAGGGGCTAGATAATTTGTGCAAGGGCATGCAGAGAAAGAAAGAAGAGAGAACACCTCACATATGAGTTTTACAGATAGAAAATAAATAGAAACATAGAAATCATCTTTCTTACCTTGTTGCTTCATCTAACAGAAGAATTTTAGGATTCTGAAGAAGAAGTAAAATAGGTTATAATAATAATTAGACAAGATCTGAATGTATCACTAGGGAACAGGATTCATACAGCTTAAAACTCCAAGTTAAGTGCACTTATTTCATCAAAAGAACTGAGTGTCATTCAAAGCATTACTTTTAAGAAGTCTAAATACTAAGAGGACAAAACAGAAACAACACTCTTCCACCTTCAAATTTTGCAAACTAAAGCGGAAGAAGCAGCACTGTGGTCAAAAGTTCAATTTCCCATTTACTGCTTTCATGCGGCTCTTTCACAGAGGCCGAGCTACCCTCTGCTTGCAGTCAGTCTGCTATGTATAACTGTCTAGTAACGAAAAATAACAAAAACCTACCAACAAGCAGTATTTCACCCACAGATGAAATACATAGTACTTAGGAACTATCACTTAAGAACTCTTCCCAATTACATAAGAAATAATTTAAAAAAATCACCAGCACTCAAATCCCTAAGAAGCTTCTTCTGAATTACAGTACATAATCCAAACTTGCTTGGTGAAGTTGACAGTAAAAGCTTCAAATTTTATCAGGAAGAGAAGGGACTCCACTGCACCCCCAATCACGTATATATCTACACATATATAACTACTCATTTATTTTTTAAAACTTTTTTTTTTTTCCAACTGTACTTGACATGAAACGCAATCAGCTTTCAGCATTTGTGGTAAATGAGAACCGATACAATAAAAATTTCCCAGTAATCTAGCAGAACTGGGCATGCTAGGGTGCTATAGACACCCATATGGCTTAATGTGAATCTAAGCTGGGTTCAGTAAGGCTCAAAACTTCCAGCTGAGCCTCAGCCCCAAACTGCCTCCCTGTGAAGCACCATGGCTGTCCCTGAACCAAACACCTTGTCCTTCTGATTCTCAGAAGCCTCCTCAAATTTGCGCAGCATAGAGCCTGCCCTAAAGCTAGACCTGTGCCAACCCCTGAAGGGAAAAGAAAAAAAGAAAAAAAAAAAAAAGGACACAACATTGTGCCTGAGATTGTATCAAGTCCAGACCAGCTCCCCTTGAAGGCAAGACAGGGCATCTATAGTGCTGGTAAGCTGCAACCCAGAAAAATCAAACCACGAGTGACAGAGATGTGAAGACAGAGAAGTGTCATATATGAGTTTACTAGCACCACATTCTTCAAGTCTTCCTTCATCCTTGATCTGGTCTTATGAAAGTGAGCCCTTTATACAATGATTTACTATCATCCTTGGCAAGAACTATTGAAAAACACGACCAAAAGATAGGAAGAAGCACTTAAGTAAATATTCTTTAGTTAAACTACTCGGCCCTTTCAAACTTTTTCATTAATGTAAAAGATACAATTTTCTTTTTTAAAATATTTTTCCACCTCTCCCATTGAAAGGCCTCCACCTTTTTAATTCTCCCAGCCTCCCCACAAAGTAACAAACTAGCTATTTGGGTGCTGGCTCACCTTGAGCAGAGCTCGAGCAATCGCAATTCGTTGCTTCTGTCCACCTGTGGGGAAAAGGTCAGTATATTGAAAGAGGAAAACAGATGTAAAGTAATTTTAAATGAATGCCTGGGCTGAACAGAATTGGGCACATGTGCTTAAGGGGGTAGAGGGGTCAATGGAGATAAAGGAGGGATTTTTTTTTTAAATACTTAAGGCAGGCTACAACTTGGAGAAAAAAACTGGTAACAAAAAGTAACAGAATTTTTACTTCACTCTATACTATCATATTTTTAAAATAAGCAATACAAAGATGTACCTGAAAGCAGAATGCCTTTTTCCCCAACTACAGTGTCAAACCCTTTTGGAAAATCTCTGATAAAGCTGGCAGCATTAGCTATTTCAGCAACTTTCTGAATCTCCTCTGCAGTCACAGTAGTAGGATCCTCTGCACCATAGGCAATATTTTCAGCAATAGAACAGGAGAACAGAATTGGTTCCTGATAAATTCAAAAACATAACTAATATGGTAGCTCTGTAATTACATGCATGTATTACCTATACCTCAAATAACATAAATCCCATTTACAAGACCCAGCATTAATTTCTTTTATATTCACACAAAAGAATATGTAAGCTAGAGATAATTGAATTAAACAAAAAACCCGCTCAACACGAAAATGGACAGTCAAAACCAATTAAAAAATAAGTTGTTTTTTAAACTGACAAAACATGACATATCCCTCAATTCTTAACATTTGAGGAAGAGTCCAGAAAGAGCTATTCATCCAAACATCAGAAAACGTCCCCTTTGTACGTTACTACATATCATCATTTGCAACAATGATCATTCTTCTCTTAACAATGTCTAAACAGATCTCATGGCATTTTGTGCATTTAATTTATATTAAAGCTTAAAACAGAGAAGAGGACTGGCAGATAGGACAAGTGATGTATAATGGGAAAATATCTGAAACAAGGTAAGCCTGCTCTGTTTATGAAATAGAGACATCTTGCAGTCTGAATACCAGTATGAATCTCCTACTGGTAACTCAAGTGGAATACATACATTCAAAAAGAAAAATGCTAGTGTGCCCAGCAGGAAGTCAGTTTTTGCAGAAAAGCTTTTGGCGGCATTATTACATAAGGCAGATTTTTTGAAATGCGACATAGAATCATAGAATGGTTTAGGTTGGAAGGGACCTTAAAGATAGTCGTGTTCCAACCCCCCTGCCATGGGCAGGGACACCTCCCACTAGACCAGGCTGCTCAAAGCCCCATCCAGCCTGGCCTTGAACACCTCCAGGGATGGGGCCTCCACAACTTTTCTGGGCAACCTGTTCCAGTGCCTGCACCACCCTCAGAGTGAAAAATTTCTTCCTAATATCTAATCTAAATCTCCCCTCTTCCAGTTTGAAGCCATTCCCGCTCGTCTTATCACTACATGCCCGTGTAAGAAGTCCCTTTCCAGCTTTTCTTATGCTTTTAATCAGAACATCAACCTAACAGTTAAATGCATTGTGAAGGATCTGGGGAGATAAAGGAAAGAACATATGTAGTTTAATTGGTCAAACAGGTTATTTTTAAGAGACCATTGAACATCTCTCTGTACCTGCAGAGTCTAGGGGTTGCTAAGGATAGAGCACTATAAGAGTAATCATCAACAGTGAAGTATTTTTATGCTTTCCTAATGGAATTGTGTTTGCCTGGAAACAACACAGAGCACAGGTCAGTTTTCAAACGGCTGTATAAAATACGATTATGCAACTTCCCTTAATACAAAACGTGATTAAACACTAAGCTTTGTGTTTCTTTCTTCAACAAATCATAGCGAACATCAAGATGGTCATACCTATACAATTTGCAACAATGTACTTTCCAGTCTCCACATGCACACGTTTCTTTCAAGCTAACACTTTGAATCTCTATGATTATGTAAAAACAGACTAAAGAATAATGGACTAGCCCTGAATACTTATTTTTAGAATAAAGCATGCACAACAGCAGTTATAGTTAAAAAGATGAAAAGCGGGGCACAGCTAGTTGATTACACAAACCAATTTCATTCACTTAGAAATTTTTTTCTTCCTTACCTGACTCACAGTTCCAATCTTTGTCCTGAACCACAGTGGATTTAACTGACGGATATCAAAGCCATCAACGGTGATAGTACCTTAGATTAAGAAACAGTAAAGTCAAGTGTGTTTGACAAGTACTGAAAAGAGGCAGAAGGAACAGTTGAGAACAACATCCCCTGAGGAATCACATACTGATGGATCAGAAATGCAAAGCTATGCAGGCACCACCACAAGCTAACCATAGACCCCAGAGGGAAGCATGGTGTATCAGTGGAATAATCACACCAGGACGTCAAGCACAGGAACCCCCACTGTTTATAAGGTGTATCTGAAATGCAAAGCATCAATTGTCACAAATGAGAGCAACACACAAAACATACCTGAGATAGGGTCATACAGCCTCAGCAGAAGGGATACAATAGTCGATTTCCCTGTACCACTTGGGCCAACCAGAGCCATAACAGAGCCAGCTGGAATGGAAAGGCTAAAATCTTTGAAAATGGATGTTTCTGGACGTGTTGGATATGCAAACTCAACATCCTTGAATTCCAAAGCACCTCTGAATGTGTCTTTGCCTAATGTGATTCCCTCTGTATGACAAAGAATTAAATACAGAAACGTGAACAGAAACAAAAAAAGTCAGCTCAGCCCTCCTAGAACTTGATTTACAGACACTCAACAGAAATACCTATCTCCATGTTAAATGTAGGGATAGCTGCACGCCACAATTCAGTACTACAGGGGTTATATTTCAGCCGTGACTGAATCAGCGCGGTATACCACTTGTTGCTGAATGCAATTTCAGGTTGCTCACCAGCAGTGAACCTGTAAGCTACCTACAGCAAGAGGGAAGAATTTGCATCTTGCTAACACCTAACAATGTTCACTTCTAGTATAATTGTCTGAATTTTTAAACATATTACAAACAATTTGGGTTTTGTCAATTAGAAGCAATGAAATACAGTGGCATTGTTGAAGGCCAAAGTCCCGTTGCCATAGAACAGATGCAAAAAGATAAACATTGCAAATCACTTGCTGCCCTTTCACCAAACCACAAAAGTCACGTGAAACACCTTCGCTTTTGGACAAGAGCAGTTCTCTGCGCTACCTGTTAACTGCGTAGCTTTTAAACGAAGGCTGTCACTGGAATAAAGCTGCTGCTATGTTTGTTGCATTCATGGCCATTTTTAAGATTTGTTTTAAGTGGAAAGTATATTTAATAAATTCAGGACAACAGTCTATTCAAAGACCAATCAGAGGCATACTTTTTAGGCAACAGTTCACTGAAACTAAAATTTCAGTTTGTGAAATACCATAACAAACCATCACAAACAAACAATTGCCTTAGTTAAATAAAACCATCTTCTTTCTGGAGCGCACCATTTGATTTAAACAATTATCTTAAAAGACTATCAGTACTAAAAAAAGCTTATAAATAGGTAAGACAAAGAAACACTGTTTCTTCAAGCCCTGTTAAATCCCAGCGATACATATCCATACAAAGCAAACTAACTGGACAATGTTGCTGCATTCCCGAAGGACAGCATCTCACTGACGAAGTTCCTACCAGGTTTGTGAAAACTGGCAGTACCAGAGCAACCCCTGAGTAGTGCTTGTTCACGCTAAAGACACGGAACTCAAAACCCTAAATTCTTTTCAGGTGCAGCACACAAGTAACCCCCAACTAGCCACAACACATGGTAGCACAGGCCCATGTTTTGTTAAACAGTAACTGTGGACGGGAAACACAGAAACCGATCCGTAGCAATCAAGATTTCACTAGTCCTGCTGTTCTTAGAGCAAATAATTTATTTTACTTTTCTCCCAGATTCCCTCCTCTTTCCAGGCTTTCAGTTTAGTGATAGTACCATGGAAAGGGCAAAGGCAAGAGCATATAATTTCAGACTCCTTCCTTGACTTTAATCCATGGACATACACAATGTAACTTGTTTGTTATGTAAATGGTCTCTAAACCTTCCTTTGGGAAAAGAAATGTATTTGCTAAATCCTGTGCTAGCAGCATAATCCTTATTGTTATCAAAATAACAAGTAATCACTTATCTTTATTCTTAGTTCCAGTTATTGCAGTCTATTCCATGGCCTGAAACACTGAAATCTACTGCAATACAGGAAGTCTGGTACCACAAGTCTTCCTCTATATATTACTGTAAAAATATCTAAAAGGTATATATAGGATTGTGCTTGTTTCTTGTTTAGCTAGATACAGGAAAAGACGACATTATAATTTTTTTCCTGAGATATTTGTTGTCACCAACAACAGCTGGAGTTCCATGAATATAATACTTAAGTAGCCAAGAGGAGACATTTCGGGTGGGTTTGGACATCAGAGAAATAGTCTCTTGGTTTTATTGTCTGATGAGCCAGAAATCAAGTAAAATTGCTTTTTGAGACAAAGTTTTATATCCTTTCCTATGTAGTTTACGCTGACAGGAAACTTAAAAGAAGCTTTCTAAAGGCCTATAATACATGGAAATTTTGTCTGTTTTATGTTAGGTCTATAAAATAAAGATTGTTTACTGGATGTCACTGTTGGTGTAATTGAACAATTCAATACCTTCCATGGGAAGGAAAACTGCCCCAATACTGCAGCTTACTCTGCACTGGGGCCACTGTAAAGATGAAGACCACTGAAGTAATCCAGATTTTTAAAAAAATTAAAAAATTAAAAAATCACACCCAAATGATGATGAAATCAACGGTTGCACTAGGTCTATGAAGGGCACAGCGCACTGCAGTGTGGCACTGGATAGTCAGTCACGGCAGGAAATTTAAGCCAGCTCCATTGCTGAAGACAAGAGTGTGTAGCTATCTCTTCATTAGCCAGTTGGTGGTTACCTTTTGTACAAATGGCTGCTATTCTAAGTCTGCCTCCATCCATTGGAGACAATATCGTTACTTTTCACTGGCTATGTAAAGTTTCACTGGCATTGAAAAGCATCCTATAAACAGGCTGGCAGCTATGAAGACAAATGAAACAGAGGCCAGACTGTGACTTGGTGTCCATCAGATTAAGAACTTGAGGAATTCCAGTGTAGGGAGACAAAAGCAGAACAAAAATTTCAAGCATAGCATTTCAAAAGAACCCCTCTGTATCAACCATCTCAAAAGATAAAACTATTCCCTAAAGCCAAAGCTCACTCAAAAAAATCTGGTAGGTCTGTTGGATGTTCCTTTCTGACTTTTCCTCTTACAGCAGCCCTTAAAACGCTTCTAAATTAGAGGACCATACAAAACTTCGAAGGAAACTGCAGTGTTGACAGCTCACCTGGACCCTGCTATATTGCATTTCTTAACAACATACAGAGCTAGTGAAAACTCATGTATGACTTTCCCTTAGTGGGATGCAGCTGATTAAATAAAACAGCAATTCACACAGAAAGTATCTTCTACAAGCAGCTCATTGAATGGCTTTGATGGAGATAGCCAAATGCTGTTTATACAAAATATACTCAATACTGGAGGGTGTTGTCTAGCTTACAAACAATAAAGTTGTAAATAAGGTGTTGCTGGCAATATATTTTTATTTTAAAAATTTCCATTTTCTGAAACTTCTGAATAAAAGAAATCTTCATCATCTGCTTCATCGTTAGAAAAACTCAGAAGAATTACCACTGTATCTAGGTGCTTTCATAAAAACGTAAGTAATACCTTTAAGTATTACACACCTCTTTCTGAAGTACTGGTGACCAATAGGAGAAAAATCAACCCATGAACAATAACAAATCAAGGACCTACCATTGAATGGAAGCTGGGGCTTCCTCTCAATAAGTTCCCATAGACGTCCACCAGCACCTAGCCCTTTCATCAGTTCAGAATAAAAGGAACTTAGACCTAAACAAAAAGCAGATCAGTATTACGCATCCATATGGAATGGAAGACACAGGAGACATTAAATTTGCGTTACACTTTTCATCACTAGCACTGAAGCATCAGACATGTAGGGGATCTTTTACTCCAACACGCTATCAGACATGTTGATTTAAATCCTATCTAGTCTCACTTCAGAGCTTCCAATAACCACTATTGACCATTCTTATTTAGATCTGTAAAGCAAATCATTCTGAAGGAAAAAAACAGAAAAAGTTAATACACATAAGCTTGCATATACTCAAAAGCAAAGCAAGTCTTTTCCATTCATCTGCTAGGAGGAACAGCATCCAACTTTAGAGAAGTAGCCTTGCATACAACTAGCTGTATTTTCAAAATCATTCCGTAGAATGAAGCATTCTGAATGCCGTTCTTTGTCAGGTAGTGTTATACTACTATAGGAGAGCCTGGCTGAGTCAGCCACAGGGGAGGGAGAGCACAAAATCTAAGTCTGAACTGATGCTTGAGAAGTTATGCGGACAACAGACAATGTAAAGAAATATGTCTCCCAAGTCAGCATGCTTCAAACATTACTGGAGAAAGCAAAAGCTAAGGACAAGGCTTGTGTACAGTACTGGGTCCCAGCTCTTAGCAGCTGTGTGAATCATCTTGGAGCTGGTGTGGCTGAATGGCTTTCCAGCTGAAACATAGAAATCAACCTAGAACCAGAAACCAAGTAAGACATAAATATAAAATGTCTTATTTCTTCATTTTTTGTGTGTCTTTCAAAATAGAGTAACCAATTTCAAATTTTCTGAATTCCAACAGAATGAACATGCAGAATAAACCACTTCCACCTTAAAATGCGTATAGTGTTAAAAGCGCATTTCATGCCCTCCCTGAAACTGGAGGGCAGAAAACCCAGGGTATATTAAAAAAGGTTTAGCGGCTTATTCTTGCAGAGCATCAAGCCCAGCACAAGGTCACAAGTCTGTAAGTGTAGACAGGACAGTTCATTATGGTGCTGCTGAGGACTGTTTGAAAGCTTGCATCACAAGGCACTAGCCATGGTGAGAAGCTGTCTGCTTGGAAAAAAAGAGCCAAAGCGTCTACCTCCTAGAGCAGGGCACAGGGGGAGAAGGCATGAGCCTCACAGACCGCCTTGAAACTGAGACACTGAGGTTTGCAAATTCACAACCACTCGAAAAAAAGAAAACCATTAGATAACATGGACAGCAAATACTAATCAGAAAATGTTTTTGATTATCATATCCTATCTTCAGTGTTTGGTAGAAAACACAGAAAACTTACAACAAAAAGCGGTAACATCCCAAATTATGCATTGAACTTCACAGTTCATTGAATGAACTCCTATATGTATTGATGATGACATATACTGAGCAGACTTAGCCCTTTAAAGATTTATATGCTTTGTAAGCATCAAGAAAGGCAGGCCTCTTGTGGCAGGACACCTTTACTTCAGAGTCCCCACGAAAATGAGCTCTGTGCAGAACTATATTCTTCAACAATCTTAAGTAGAATTTAAAAAGATGTTTTTACCACAAATAAAAGTTAATTCAATGATGTTTTATCAGTGTTCCTAACCTTATTTTTCATTTATTTAACATTAATTTGTTCCATGTTTTCAAAGTACCAGGTATCTGTCTGTTGACTAAGTTTGAATGATTTAAGCAGAGAAGAAAGGGTTTTGGTAATTGGAATGGGTGCCACTGGAATTTTGATACCCAAGAAAGCAGGTTGTGTGAATTTTGCCCTTAGGCACATCTTCGTGCTTCCCATGATATCAGGCTTAGTCTTAGAAAAGAAGAGTACAGATGAGCTGCATTGCCCTGCCAATCTATCAGAAGTAACAGACTAATTTTAAAGAACGCTTCCAATCAGTTGTCAAACTTCAAAGTACCTTATCTTCATTTTTGCCTGTATGCAGTAGTGAAGACTGCTCTGTCAAAAAGACGAACAGTTTGTTTCTGGGCCAGTAGATTACAGAGTCTGAGCTTCAAGGAGGAGTCAGTCAGTAAGGAAAAACAAAAGGTTAGCACCAGAGTGTAGTGTGCTGCTGGCTCTTTGTTTACTCTTCCAGCTCAAGACACTATACTGAATTACAGCTAAATTCTACATGCCTTTCTAAATAGAGTATGTTTAACACAGACCCACATACTTTGTAAAAATATAATACCAGTATTATTTCTTTACACAATATACCAAGTATCTTAATTTAGTCCCAAAGAAAATTAAAATAATATATGTCTGTTAGATACACACATTGAAATAATAACCTCTGTATTCCTTTGGGAAAATTGAAGGTTTACATTAAATTATAAATTATTATTTTCATTAACTCTTCAGAAAAAAAATATGTATGATTTCTTGGGAAGACCACTTGAGAGAGATTTTTTTAAAAAGCCAGATCTTTTAAGAGCTTCTTCCCTCCTGCCCCCATACTGACTGTAATGCTTTGAAGTGAAGAAAATCTGATTTTTCATTCCATACCTCCAATGCTTATTCCAACCCAGAAAGCATACATTAGGAAAGATGAGAGTTCACCAACTGTCATGTAGGCACTGCCCATTAGTAATCCTCCTTTGTATAAGACCGAGAGGACGATTAAGTTTCCAGAAAGGCCAGTCTAAGGAAAAAGCAGGAAAGGCAGACTTTGTCACATACATCTTAAACTTCATCCTATAAAATGTTGTTTCAGAATTTTCCTTCTAATAAAAGAATTCCTATACTATAGTTATCTAGATTTTTAGAGGACCGAGTTAAATTTGAACAAAACCAATTCTAAAGCAAACCAATCCAACAGCCAGCCAGACATCTGGTGGCACCGCACTCTGCTATCCAACAAGTGTTCAAAAACCAAGCAACTCTCTTGGTTTTGGTTGTTTTTTGGTGGGTTTTTTTTTTTTGTTTTTTTTTTTTTTTTTACCCAATTCCCCAAGATGGAAAGGAACATCAGACATTATTCTCAACCACCATTAAAGGAGAAGAGTTGATAGTCTGCAGTTATATTGCAGTTTTAGAATACTGTTAAGCAAACTCACTGCAAGCTGGTATGGAAAACTGCAATCCCACTGTCGCTCTCCCACCTACCCACTCCCCAGCTTCCTTTGCATTGATACTCATCTCATCAGAAAGCCAAATCTGTAAAACGCTAAGGGTGGTGGAAGATTTCCACTGGTTTAATTCCCTGACTAGGAGGTATGGTTTCAGAGAAATAGTACCAAGCTATGGGGTGCGGGGCAGAAATAGAGACTCAAACCGGCTTTATCATACCACTGTATCTTGAGGTGCAGTTTCACAGCAATTTAGACTGATTTCAGTCCAGTCTTCCCACAATTTTATGTAGGTTCAATTTACACTCAAATCATTTATTTGCAGATTTATAAGTATCCTCATGAATTTTAAAATAATTGAGACTGGGTGTAACATGGTTGGTTTAATTTCATCAAAATACTTACTGCTCCAAAGAAGCCTGCCCGAGCTAATGCCTCTTTTTTAGCCAGCTGTAGCACATAATCAACTTTATTTGTATACTTCTCCATTTCAGCCACTTCTTGCCCAAAAGCTCGAACTGTTCTTATGTTTCCAATACGCTCTTCAGCTAACTACATTAAAGCAAAGAACAAAACAAATACACACGGACACACAATGAGGAACGTTCATATTAAAGAACATTTGAAAGTTAAACGAGTATCACTACACTAATCTCCAAATACATTCCTTTGGATACCACTGGAAAATTTCTCATGCCCTCCTCCCCTCATCCCTCCTCCCCCTTTTTTTCTTTTTTATGAATTCTATTAAGTTAAAAGTAAACTGCATGCCCAGGCAGTTTAAAAAGAACTTCAAGATTGCCTTAAGTGTTAGCAGAGAAAGAAAAATATAAAAGTAGGGTTAAAAAAATCCCCTTAATTTGATGTGAACACCACACATAAGAAAATTACTATTCACAATGACTTACAATAACAATGTGGAAAGGGGAAAAATAAAGAATATTCTGTTCTACACTAAATCATGCAGGAAAGCCTGCAGTTATTTCCTGAAACAATTCCACTCATTTGATCAAAGCAACATTGGGAATTAATTAAGCTCAACTACTAATGACCCATTTCAACTCAGTATTTTATTTTAACTTCTAAACAGCACAGTATTAATTCCAAAGTTACCTCAATTGTAACAAATTAGACTACATTGTTAATAAACACTGGGAGGGTCTTACAAAAAACAAGGCCCCCTTTTGTGAGTAAAAGTATAAAAATGTAATTCTCTTTTTTCCATCATCCATTCAACCTGAAAATTTGGATAGAACACTAAAATTGCTTGTTCATGTGAATTCCCACACCTGGTTTACAAAGGCATGAGCCTTCAACACAGGATGAGGAAGATAAAACAGAAGAGGGCTAATCTTCCTTCTGCACAGTCAATTTGCAGAAGTCCTACACAGGACATCCCAACTTTAAAACAGCTGACAACTGTGGCTATTTTAACTAGGTCTTTCCTAATTATATTTCTATGCATTTTAATGATGTTTCCCCACTCTCGGCCTGTGAGAAAAAGGTCACCACGACTACTATTTCTCTGATAGTGCTTTGCAATATTTCAGTGCAGTCAACAAACACAACAACAGCTTCCTCTACTTTTCTCACAAATATTTGGGTATGTGCTGAGATGCCCAGAAAAACTTTTAAAAAAACGTCAAGCCTCATAAACACTAAAGAGTTGACAATAAGGTCAAATGTCAAGGATTAATTCCAGAGAAGGACTTGCTAGCAAAGTTTTCTTAAAAGACAGACCCATCTAGAATGCTTCTGATGGCTTCAAACTCATAACCATAGCCCAAAGTGTTTTTCAAACCCAGGTACCACACTACACAGGACTTCATAGGCTAATTTTTTTTATGCTCTCACACGGCTAAAGCCTAACCTCCTTATGCTTTCCTACATTTCCAAATTCTCAAGGCCTGGTACCTCCACATGTTGTAAAGGACAGCCCTTTAGAAAGCATTGTTGTTTTTGAGATCTGCAAGTAAGTGTTGCTGAAGTTTACCTTTCATACCGTTCATGTGCAAAACTACAGGCTCTGCATGGCTTAGGGCAATGAACAGTACAATTATCTTCAGAAGATCTGTACTTCAGAGATATTAACCTAAATACACTAGAGCAGCTTTGAAGTTAACTAGAAAGTGCCTGTTAAAAGATTACCTGTGTTGCTTGTGCAAGAGAATCTTGGGTCATTTTAGTAAGTTTTCGCAAGTATCTTCCATAAATCACAGCCAGGACAGCCAAGGGTGGCACAACACTCAGAACAAATGCAGCAAGGCTAGGAGACACAAAAAACTAGAAGAAAAAGGTATGCGTCAGGGGTTAGCGTTCAGATTAAAAAAACCCCACTGGAGTACTGAAGTGTAACTTCCCTTGCTAGAGTTTTCTAAAACCAGTAGGATCGGAATTTAGTGCTGCCATGCTTTCATTTATCATGTTTTATTACTTCCAGGCAAAACACCCATTCCTCCACAGTGTTTGGGGAATGTATCCCATGGTTAAAACAAAGGATTATAAGCAAAGGGGTCTGGATTTCATTTCTAGCTTTCTCACTGGTTCGCTGTGTGGTCTTAGCCTAGTATCCTAACCTGCCAGTAAACAGGCCTACCAGGAAATCTCTTGGGGATGCTGAAAGACATAAGCTATTACATACAGTTTCTAAAGCGCTCTCACAACATTTAAATAGATGGTGTAACACAGCAAGTTTGAGTAGAGAAATATCGTACACGACTTCTGGGTAACCGAGGAACAGATGGAGTCACCAGTGCTCCCTAGCACCCACAAATGTTCATAACCTGGAAAAATAGATTTAATTTACTGTTACAAAACCTTATCACTCGTAACAATCATCAAAGCTCCTAAATAGGTTCCTTTCATATGATTTATTGAAATTAGATCTAATGTGTTTTAATTTCTTCTTGCTTTCTTTACTGAAAACAGAAAAATCTCCAGAAAAATTCAAAATTGAATTAATTTACGGGCTTTATAATTATTTCATAATAATCTCTTATTTCTGGGCAAGCTTTTATAGTCTGCCTTTTAATTCTACATCATGGCAGCACTTTTGAGCAGAATCCTTATATAAAGTTATTCCAGTAAATGGTAAGATAAAACCTTAGACTCTATTCACTCAGATAAATACAGAAAGCCATAATTCTTGTCAGTGACAAAGTATTATAGTTTTAACAGTTCATGGTGAAAACTCTCAACAGTTTCTAATAATGTCAATCTTGGAAACTTATTTTTATGAAGACACTTTTTGCTATCCATTTTTAACTCCAGGTAGACAGAAATTATGAGTCTTCCATTTAAGACAATTGCCACCAACGTATCTTTTTTCAGATAGGCATAAAAAAAATTTAACACCACAAAAAACATCAAGGGATGTTTATATAAAGGGATGTTTTTATATAAACCAACTGACCACCAAGGAATATTAACTGATGCACTGCACTAATGCCTTCATTAACATGCTTCCTACCTAAATATATTCTTTACTGACAGACCAAAACAGACTCACAAATCCTCAGCAGTAATTTGATGTTCACTGCTGCCGTTGCTCACCTAGGCCTTAATCAGAATCAACCAACTTCAATGACTTTTCCATCAGGAAAAGCTGTATTTTACCTACAACCATGGGAATGTTATCACTGATTTTAATATCTTCAGTAAGAATATAGTTAAGGTATTTGCCTGCTATACTTTGCTTGATAAATTCAGGCAGCAATAGCAGATCATTTCAAACCCTTGTGCTTCATGTTTTGGCTTCTGAGTAAACATCAAGTGGCTACAGGCACATCATCTACTGCAATGTAGTACATGGATAACTAGTGAAATACATTTGTATCCAAGAACACACAACAGTTTCTGGACTGAAACCATTCACACACTACCTAACAGAACTGAAACAAACTTGAAACTACAAGAAGTCACAAGCAGAGAAGAGACAACCGTACCATCATTCCAACCCCCACAGATGCCTGTGCTCCTGCCCTGAGCCCATCTGAAAGGTTTTCAGTCACTGAACGACCCAAGAGGGCTGTATCTGAAGATAAGCGGTTTATCAGCTCTCCTGTTCTGGTCTTGTCAAAGAAAGCGGTTTCTTGCTTCAGAATAGAGGAGAACATGGTTGTTCTCAAACGTTTCACAATCCTTTGTCCTGTCAAAAACAGAAGTCCATCAACCATGGCACACACAACTATACAGACACCAACAATATAAAAATCACAGGATTATGCAGCACTGAACAAGTCACGTTACAGAATTTTACTATAACAAAAGATAGTGAGCTTTAAGATGTCACGTAACAGTAAATAAAAAATAAACAATTATTCCAGTGCACTTATCTTTGCACTATTAGTTTACCTTTGATCTGGTAAAAAACCACTACTGATTCCAAGAGGATTTCTCAGCCAGTGCCAAGAATTTATTTCAGATCATTAGGTATCCTGACTCTGTGAAAAAAAGATGACTCTCAGGAGCACTTTTTCCTTCTGTTTTTACCTGCAGTCTGCATGAGGTAGACACGAGTAGCATTAGCAGCAGCACCACATAAAAAGATTCCACTCAGCAAGGCACACAGGCTGGTCAGGCTGACAGTGAAGTCTTCACTGGGATTTGTATAAATAACGTCAATAACTTTACCCAGAAAGAAAGGGGCTGACATGGTAATGACACTGGAAACTGTCAGAAAGCCAACAGCAGCTGCAAATCAACAAAGAAAATGAAAAGAAAATTATTCTGAATTTGCAAGATCATTAATAGTACATATGAAATAATTTTTCACTTGAAATTTCTATTAAGCTTGCAAGTGTCAGCATCAAATAATCAGCATTCTTTTAGGCCCAGTTCTGAACAGGACATTTTAAGTCACTGCATAAATTAACTCGGGCAAGGCACATTTTAAGATCCTGAAAGCCTCTCTATATAATCACAGTCCTAGAATTGCTTCTCTTGTCTAACCTTTCCCACCACCACTCGGCAAAGTTAACTCTTCACAGATGTCATCCTTATAGAGCATTCACAGTCAGCAAGTCTTCCATATCGCTCTCACAATCTTTCACTCCTGTTTGGTTTGCTTTCTATTATTCATGCTTGCTACCATAATAAAGCTTCCAGCTGTCTATTTCTGAGAGAGCAATGGACTGAAGTACAGATCTGATCTGAGAACCATCTAAAACACGTTTTTATTTCAGAAAAAACACCAAACAAAAAGCCTGATTTGATTTACTCTTGACTGGCAAGATTTACATACATTTGTATTGTTTTACTCTTCGCTATTGCTAGTCTAAAAGACAAACAGTGTAAGTTTGAATAGAAGCTTGTTTGCTGGTGAGCCGAACTCTTGAATTCCAGTTGCAAGATCATCCATGGCATCACCTGTGTAACTGTTTGAGTATGAAAAATCACACTGTACCAAGACAGTCTTTTGAACTTTAATCTGCAAAGAAATTTCTCAAGCCAAGAACACAGCTTGATTCTGAAAAGGCAAGCCAAGCTTGGAAGGCTGAGAACTAGAAAAAAACCCAACCTCTTAATTGAAAACTGAACAAACTTGATATGAAAACCACCGAACCACAACAAACAATACTATTTATACAGCACAATTTTTCAACAGCCAACACCACACTTAAAACAACCATTCATAGGCTTGCTACAAAACTACTAGCAGATAATGCCTTTAAAGGCAAAAAACACTGTACTGGAAATCCTGAGAATTCCTGGGTTTTAGTTACATTCTACTGAGCTTCTTTTATTGCTTCTGTGATGAAGACAGTAAAGAGCCTCCCAGCAGTGCACTGCTGTAAGTGATATTTCTAACATCTGTCACAGATGGTTTGATGCCTCTTACCGCCTCCACACACAGGTGGAAAGCTATGTTTCAGTTTGTACTTGAAGGGTAAATACAGCTGTGCATTTATGATGAAGAATTCAAGATCCAAAAAATGCATGCCTGCCACCACCTGAAGCAAACACTTCTCTGCACCTTCACTGCAGTACCCCAGAGCAGTCCTGGGAGACTTCTGCACACTGCCCAACGAGCTTTATCCTTTGCCATTGTGTCCAATCTGCTGCCTGTGCTTCTTGAATTCAAGATTTGTTTGCGATCTTTCCATTGCATTACACTCAGGCCAGCAAGCACATTAAAGATATAGGACTTGGATCTTTAACTTGAAGCTATAGAAACTATAAGCCAGAGTAGAAAGGGAAAGCCTTCCTGCTGCAAACTTAATGTGATCCACGCCACAAACACATCTCATAAGCATATTATTTACTGGCTAAAACTTCCTAAGAATGAGTGACCTTATTAACAGACTGGCTGCATTCAAGCTGTGAAGCAGCAGGAAAAATCCAACAAAAGCCAGGTCATCTTCTGTCAGGAAAAGCTGGTCTAATAAGGCAGCTGGAGATGGTCAAAAGCATTGTTTATAAGCACAGTGCTGCGTGGCAGCTCAGTCTCCACTAGTCCAGGCAATTTCTCACTTATGGATGGAACCGGACAAATGCATAAATATTCACTGACGGAAAAGGACTGTACGGCTTGAAATCCTGTATGTCCCTGTCTAGCAGTACAGCCTTCCTGGCTTGGATTTACCTTCAGCTCTTCTTCATTCAAACTAGCATAGGTTTCACTGTAATTCCTTCCAACAGCCTTAACTGAACTAAAAGCAAGTATTAGCACATAAAGCAAACAGAAGACTACTAAACTACTTAAACATTAGATAAAGTTTCAATAATATATTAGAACAATGCAGTCCTGAACATGAAAGTTTATATAATCCAGACGTCACTTTTAATTTTCCCCTTAAGCAATGTACCTGTCTATACTAATTTAATCACAAATCACATGCAAAATAAGGCTGCCTAACTGAAACTCTCCCTTTGATTATACCAGCAGAACAACTAGAAAAATAGCACAGATGCCAGGCTGTTGCTCTTTTTTTTTTTGTTGTTTGTTTGTTTTAAACTGTTGACTGATTGAAGAAATAGGAATCAGCAAACACTCATTCTATCTCCCCATTCAAAGAAGAACTGTCATTGTGATAACTGGCGAAAGGGAGGAGTACGAGGTGTTCAGCAACCAGATATGAAGACACTTCACTGACACTGAAGGTTGTTACTGACAGAAAGAAGGTCACAGTAAACTTTACAGTATTAGTTTCACATAGCTTACTCTGTTACCCAGAAAATTATGTCAAACAAAAGAGTGCATTTTGGAAGCTTTATTTTTTAGAGTAGATCTGTTTTGTAGACTATGGGATAAAAATAAAGAAAATGTGAAGCAGATCAACGGAACTTTGATGTAGCCCTGGTTTAATAAAAGTGGCAACAGCAGCAAAGACAAGGCAAGCTGGCTCCAGCAGCAGCTGAGCAGTCCTCTTGGAAGTGTTAAGCAAACATTTTGCTTGTCTACTCACACAGAAATCCATATCACTGCACAAAGTGATGCTTTTATCACTGTTGAGATCAACATGCTCTCTGTTAAGGCTAATGTGGGCTTGTTTCTTGACAGCAGATCTGCAATTTCATTTCACAGTAGATGTATTTGGGGGCAAGGAATTGGTCACCAACTGATAAACCAGGATGTTTACAAGCAATAACTAGGTAGAGCTATCAGAAACCTCTCTTCAGAACAAGGACTAAGTGACTCCAAAGCATCATAAACCAATTTTCTACATGCAAAAACATCAAGAGAGTGACAGTTTCTAATTTTGCTGGTCCTTACCACAGCATCCTTCTCACCCAGTACGGTATGTGGAAAAGCACAAAGCCAAAAAATTTCTTGCAGGGCTGTTGGGAGAAGAGCTATTTTAAACACATATACATAAAGATTTGACCTCAGTTGAATTAAGATCATTCAAGCCAATCAGGGATGAAGGACAGAAAATTGAGGTAATGATGATGTTTGGCAGTGCATGGTAACACAGCAACAGGACACTACCTAGTTTTTACTATTCAGTAAGGTTATGAATGTTACCTCCCAGAATCTTTTAAGTATTTTACGTGTTTCATTTGAAGATCAGTGCTGGCAGGTCAGAAAGCATACTTTGGATTTGTGAGAAATACCCTTCTACCAGTAATGGAGAATGTCTGTCCTTTACCAGTTATCTGTGCAGTTTTATTCTAATACAGTGATTATTTTAGCTTTACACTGAATTTCCAGAAGGGCATTTGAAGTGACGAATAAAATCTGCTGTATTCTATGATGTGCATGCATGGGGATCAGGCTCTCCAGTTGTTCTTTTACGATAGAAAGATGCACTGATAAATTTTATATTTGTTGGTTAGGCAGAGTCCATTCCCATTTGGTGAATCCTGGTCCACAAGGAATTCACTTTGGACTGGTTGAAGGACTGTTACCACCCCTGCAAAGAGTCAGTTCTGCAAATATTTATTTCAAGATAGAATCTTCTTCCAGAGTACACTGTAAGCACTTAAGGATGTTCTGTATAGTTCTAAGTTAGGTCTGACTGGCGTGGTTTTCTTTCTGTGTTACAGTAAATTCATATACGATATCTGGACTGCACCTACTATTATGCAAGAAAAACCCCGTAGAATTGTCCTCCTTACATTACTAAGAACAATTGTAATACTGGGCTCAGAAAAAATTATCGTGCGTGTCTGACAGCACCATTGTATACCGCATTCCTGGTGCATTTTGGAAAGCTGCTAGTTTTTTTGAGTGGAGTTGTGTTAATTTGCAGGTATTGCCAAAATACTGAATCCTGCAAGTTACTATTTCCAGTGATGAACACAGTTTTTAGCAAATGTTTATAGGCATATTCTATAGGCAGTTTGATGTGGTTATTGAATCTGTGGTGTTTTTTCTCCCCTTTTTTTTTTCTCTTATTTTTTTAAACATGAAAGAGCAATTTGGGTTTCCAAATGGCAAAGACTGTGTTCTTTGGTACAGCAATAAATACAGTTGCACAACTTACTGAAAATATCTTCAAGACAGCTCATGAAAAGGCAGGCGTACTGTGGGTCATCTGACTGACCAGGATTATACAACAGTTTGGAGAAATTTGCAGTGAGACAGAATTAAACAAGAGAGACAAGCAATACCTTTGAGACAGAATCTCAAGAACAAGTTGGGTATGCAGGGTTTGGAGGGCACAATGAGTGAGCCCCAGAGTATCGGCTGGTAACATCCCTCGTGCTTGGAACATTTACGTGATGCAGCTTACGGAAGAAGTCTGTCACCTTGAAGACAGCCTGCTCTTTGAGTCATGATGTATTCAGGATTGACAGAAATCACCCTTGGTAGCTCCTCAGTGAAGCTCCTATGATCAAGCAGGACAGACCAGCCAGGAGTCCTTTGCTATGGAGCAAACAAAACACCAAGGAGCCTTTGCAGAAGAGGCTAAAAAGGGTTTGTCAGAAGAGCTTTCAGAGAAGATATTTAACAGGAGAAGCGTCCTTCCAGGCAGAGCAGAACACAACGATTTGAGGAAGCCCAAGAAAGGGAACAGTGAGCAAGACTGCTCACTTTGCACAGGAGAGAAGGAGGAAGAAGTAGCAAGGCACACAGCCTGACGGAAGGCCTATGCAGAGCTGTGCAAAATCGCTGCTCGAAAGCAAAGATGGAGGCTTGACTCTGACCATAAGCAAATATCTTCACTTTCTCCTAATTAAGATGGTATCTCTATTTTACAATTTTTTATCATCAAAACAAACAGTACCACAAGCTAGTCGTTTTAAAACACCCAAAACCAAGAGAGTACAACTTTTTTTTTACCATATGTTTAAAATGAAAGCATTTAACTTGTTCATATTTATCTTCTGTAGAAGACAGTCTTTATGTCAGACCAATCTATTATTCCATCTTCAAAATTTATACAAATAGCACAGCAAAAACATTCCCAAGAGAAACCAAGTTGTAAGCACCTAACTGAGCATAGCGGTCAGCAGCTACCACTTCTGCAATGTCTTACCTAAATAGCTTCATTAACAGTTCACCAACAATTTGAAATAAGGAACTCTCACCAACTAGCCACAGAAAAGCAAACTTTTTCTCATAAAGCTACAAGGCTGCTTGGGCATTTTGTAAGCTTCATACCAAACACCGAAGAAGAAAAACTGGGGGGGTGTGGAACAACAACAAAAAAACCATGTAGCCTATTTGATTTCTACAAAAGGCACCCTGCACATGAGAAAACAACCAGTAAGTTACCTCTGTATATAACATACATACACAAATTATGATTCTAAAACCACAAGAATTGCCTTCAGAAAATTCAAGTTAAGTGTGGTTGTTGAGTTGCTTTTAGATGAGCAGAACCACTTCACAGTAACTAAATACAGTAACAAAAAACAGTGGCCATGTACACAGACTTGAAAGGTGAACCCAAATTTTGGCCAGGAATGTCCCAGCTACTGGGTGACAGCACACAAACAGCAAGATTTACAAGACCAGGGTTCAAACCACGTTCCAAAGAGTGGGATATTCTAGTGCCTGTAAGGCCCTCTGGTCCCATTAGCTTTCTTCCCATTATGCACACTGCAGAATTAATTTGACTCATTGTCAAAGTTTGAGTGGGTATATGAAAACTCATTTTTCAGAGAGATCCCACTTGTCTGACTTTTAATTAATTTTTAAATGGAGGGAGGAAAAGCATATCCTTAGCAGTGCATGGATTGCGTGTTGATGTTCAGACTCATGCTACAAATCTCGGAAGAGTTAAAGTTTCAAAATTAAACCATTTAAATGTTACTACAAACCAAACACATTATCTGCCTGATTTAACCTCCTAAAATAACTGAAGTTTTTAAAGATACTCCTACTCAAGTACTTAAGAAATGTCAGCTTGTACAAGTATAAATAACTGAAAGCATGACTTTCTAGTAGCAATACTCACAGCTGATGTGTTCATTTCTATCTGTACCTTGTACAAAAAAAAAAATAAAATCAAGTTGCTCACTACCTCGATCATCCCCAATCAAAGGGATT